AGTCGGTTCCTGATATGATACCGGCTGTTCTTTTGCGGTAACAAAAGGGCTTGGTGTTACAATTGTCGGTACTGCTCGGGTTACTGTTTCGCCGCTAAAAACGAAAGAAATTTCCTCATATGCACAGACAGTAAATCGGCCATCGAAGCCCTCTTTAACAGTGCTAATGATTCTCATATAATTTCGAAATCACGTGAAATACTATTTCTACACAAAAACACCATTAAAATTATGTGGCTACCTGGGCACGTCGGAATATAAGGGAACGAGTTTGCAGGCCAATGATTTATGTGTTAAAAACTTAGTTTATAAAATTTGCTTCTAAAGAACTGACATTTTCATTATTCTGCAAACACCCGCTATCAGTACATTTTTTGTATAAATAGTTACAATTCGAATTGCAATAACCTCTATCTGATCTTTAAACTAAAATAAAATGAATTAAAAGTAAAATCCTAGTTTTAATATATAGCGTGAATTTTTAGGACATGCGTGGGTACTTAAAATTACAACACTTTTAAAAATAGCTGTCAAAACAGTTTTTTTGCTCTCCTGAAAAATTGAGTTTTTGCAGATAGAGGGTATTGAATATAGGCCCTTGATATGTATGTACGTATACTAGTTTTAAGGATTACTCCAATATTACCTTCAAAGAATTTTAGCTGCATTCGCATCTTATATGCACACATATATATGGACAGAAAAGAATACCTCATGAAGGAAACCACGTCATTAAATGAAATAAATGTTTTACGAAACTGTGTAAAAAATTTTTTTGTTTCTATTCACCCAATGTTTTTACGCGTTAAGTTAAATATTTACTTCTAAAAAACATCCCCACTTATAAAAAACGATTTAATTTTTTCTACTACATACGTATGTATATCAGTGTAAATCTAGGTCCTGACGCGGTTATTTGTGCATAATATTGTAAGAAAATTCTCTTACTCAGTTCTGAAACTCCGTGGCTTCAGGCAACCAAGTCTTCTAACTTCGCAACTAGGCGCCTTAAAGTATCGCACCACTTTCCACACAATGCAACGCTCGTAGTTCCTGCTCCTTTTCATTTTTGTATATGTATGTATCTATAAATGCATGTGGTCGAAAAACAAAAAAAAAAATCACACAATTCAAAACTATCTCAAAGCACAATTGAATTTTAAATGAAAATTAGAAAATGCCAACTTGAAAAGAGTTAAAAGTTATTCATCATTTGACGTTATAGTCGGTGTCAAAATCACTTCTACCTTGTTTAATATGCCTTGGGTAAAACCAAGGTGTATTAAAGAAGGTGTGATTGACAACTCAGTGCGGCTCTCTTTTAAGGTACTATAATGTCAACAAGTATAAACAAACGAATTAACCCTTAGTGTTGCATGTATCTTGTCAGCACTGATGCCCTAGGCTTTTATTTCGATTATAGTTTTTTTTACTTACATTACATATATTTTGTTAATAAAATAAAACAAATTGTTTATAAAATCGTTTTAGCAATTTTCTTTTTTTTTTAATTGCCCAATTTTATGCTTTGGTGCGTTTATTTTTATATTTAAATTTTTTATCCTAAACATTATTAGACACTAATAAAAGTATGATTTTACATTTGTTTCCAACTTTATATGTGAGCCTAACTTTAACAATTTTGAAATTAAATTTTATTTTCATGCGAAATAGTTTTCCATTAAAGACTTTGCTTCGAGCGGTTTTAATTTAAGCTCTTCCATACTTGCTTGCATGGTTTTAATTATTTCGGTAAGCCGAAATATTTCTGTTTGCAACGTGCATTCTAAAGAGTCGTCTGTTTGAGTTTGGGCTCAACAAAGAATGTATCCTGATCGTGTACTATAACCTCACTTGTATAAGTTATTTCGTATGGCATTGGGACTGTGCCTGGGTATAAACGAGCTCGTTTGAAAGTGCTTGATTTGGACGGACAACTAATGAAATCACTTTCCTTGAAGTGGTTTACACAAAAAGGCGAGATGAATCACGTAGTGTAGGGATGCCCAAATCAGCACATATGTGTCGCGGGCGACTGCGCGTGCAAAGCTTTGCACAGCGGTGCTGGGCAAGCGCGGAAGCAAAAAGTTATCGGAAGGGGAAAACGAAGTCAACAGAATAGTGAGATTGTATGTGTGACAGTGATGGAAAATGAGTGTGCGTTGTGCCATTTTCGGCACTTTCGGAAGCAGCCGGCCCCTTCAGCACAATCGATTGATTTTCGGCACTATTTTTGAGTAACTCAATGCGACTAATAAATATTTCTTTCGGATCCGCAATTATAAATATTTTTTTTACATTTAATCATATGTTCTTAAACTGATAAATGATATAAACCAAAAATGTTAAGCGCATATGCAGAATATGGAAGCGAGATTCTTCTGCTTGCGTTTCAAT